CAAAGAAAGTAGTCACTGGTCCGTATCCCTCCGCTCCTTGTTTATGCTCCGCGCATTGAGAAAGTAGTTCCGTATATTTTCTCGATTTTCAGGGAATTTAGCGCATTAAAAAAATGTTTTAACGGCATTTTTTTGGTTATTAAAATCATAGGAATGGTTTAAAAACGTTTAAAAGAAAAGTCTAGAAAGTTCAGAAATACCGTAATGGTACTCTTGTTTACATTTTTTTTGTAAACAAAAAACTGTCATATGGCTACTTTTGTCCCATAAGCCTAATGTTAAAATTTGGAAATTTTAAGTTCGTTTTAAATTGCATTAGCATTATCTAATTGAAATTTGTTTGTTTAAAAACCATCTCACTATTAGTCTAAGTAATTTTGTTAAGTTTGGCTGAAATGCGTTCAGCCGTTATTGAGTGATGTTTCTCTATTTGTTGCATTGAAGTTGATCCCAAAGAGCTACGCTCGCTTCGCTCGCTCCGCTCAATTATGGTAGCCTACCATGATACCATACCAAATATGCCGTCACTGGTACTATAAAGCAATACATTTTTATTTTTGTGTATAAAATTAAAATATGCTGTATATAAAAATATGTTAAAATAGTTATATTTTAAGAATTTTTTTTTATATAGAACTTATTGCTTATTTGGCCTTAAATTGCTCTATTTGAAGCCTAAATTTAGAAAATTTTCCCGGGGGAGGACCCCTAATCCCACTGGAGGACACCCCCCCCCCGAACTGAAATCCTAGGGCCCCATTGGAAAATTTGCCCAGGGCCCCTGAAGTCGTAAGTCCGGCCCTGGACCAGTGTATCTGGTAGCAAACTGTGTACCACAATCAGATCGTAGCTCAATTGGTATACCGTGACGGCAAAATACAGATTTACATTTTTCGATTATTTCAGCAGTTGACAGGTTTTTTAATGTAGCTATTTCAAAATAACGTGAAAAACAGTCAGTGATTACTACGAACCATGTTCCTTCAAGTTTAAAGAGATCAATCGCTGCCTTTTCCCAAGGACGAGATGGAAGCTCACTGGGCAAAAGGGGTTCATGATGTTGTGTTCTATGTTCAGTACATTTAGGACAATCATTAACAAATTTCTCAATGTCAAGTGACATTCCTGGCCACCACATACTATTGTTGGCTCTAAGTCGACATTTCGTTATGCCTAGGTGGCCTGTATGTATTCTTGTCAACATTTCTTGTCTAAGAGTTGTCGGGATTATGAGACGTTCTCCTCTAAGCAATAGTCCGTCACAAAAAGAGATTTCATCCCGAACTGTGAAGTATGGCTTAAGATTATCGGGAATCTTAGTTTTATCAGGCCATTCAGTTGAGCAGTAAGATTTAATTACCCTGAGTTCTGAGCTAGCCCGCTGTGCCGATGCAATTCTATCAAGAACCATGTCAGTTACATAGGCAATGTTTCTTGTTACTGTGTGGATGGCCAGTTCAACTTCCTCATCCAAATCATAACTCTCATTAGTTGCTACAGGGCTTCTTGAGAGACAATCAGCAGTTGCTAAATGTTTGCCAGGAGTATATGTAACATTGTAGGAATATCTCATCATTCGAAGTCTGAGCCTTTGAAGACGGGGTGTCATATCATTGACCTCTTTAGTAGTCAAAATACTTACTAAAGGTTTGTGATCTGTTTCCAACGTGACGTGCTTGCCCACAATATAGTCGTTAAACTTGTCACAGCTCCATGTTAGAGATAGAGCTTCTCGTTCAATGTTAGAGTAGTTTCGTTCAGTTTCGCTCAGAGTACGTGAATTATAAGAAATAGGTTTCCAATTTCCATCTGTTTGTTGTTGTAAAAGTACTCCACCCAAGCCTTGTGTTGATGAGTCATCAGAAATCATAGTTGGTTTATCCTTGTCATAGAATGCTAGTTGAGGTGGAGATGCCAATAATTCTTTAAGTTCATCGAATGCTTTCTGTTGTTCAAACCCCCAACACCATTCGTTTTTTCTACTTAGAAGGTCGGTAATGGGTTTTAGTAATCTACTTTTGTTAGGTATGTATTTGCCAATAAAGTTAACCATGCCAAGTAACCTTTGTACACCCAAAATATCTGTTGGAGGTGCCATTTTTCTTATAGCTTCGACTTTCGTCTCATCGACTTTGATTCCTGATTCGGATAGATGGTGACCTAAGTAGGTTAAGGAGGTTTGAGAGAACAAACATTTGTCTCTGTTTAAGGTGAAGCCTGCACGTTCAAGTTTGGTAAGTACTTCTTCTAAGAAATAGTCATGTTCTTGTTGAGTTTTCCCCCAAACAATTATATCGTCCATGTGCGCAAGTGCATTCATTTGACCTTTAAGGGTTCGATTCACGCATTCCTGGAATACTTCTGGTGCAGATGTTATTCCAAAGGGTAGTTTCAGAAATTTAAAGCGTCCAAACGGTGTCAGGAACGTTGTCAAATCTTGGGATTCTTCGTCCAATGTGATCTGCCAGAATCCATTATTAGCATCCAATTTAGAGTAGCATTTTGCTTCTGAGATTTGGGCAAGTGTTATGTCGATGGGTTGAATAGGATAGTATCTTCGTTTGACGCATCTGTTTAATTTAGTAAGATCCACACAGATGCGAACTTTGTTAGAGTCCTTCTTTGGTACAACAACCATTGGAGAGCACCAGTCTGTGGCATGGTGTACCTCAGCAATCACCCCCATTGACACCATTCTTTCAAGCTCTTCTTTAGTAGATTCCCAAAGAGGAAGAGGAATCCGACGAGGTGTGTTGATTGCAAATGGATTGGCGTTATTTTTCAGTTCTACTTTGTATTTAACATCAATAGAACCTAAGCCTTCAAACAATTTAGGGTGTCTGTTATACCAGTCATTACAGGATGGCTGTATTTCATTGATTCGAGCAAGTAACTGCAATTTTTTTATTGCAGGTTTACCTAGAAGGGGTTGGGAAGTGCCCTTTGAAACATATATAGTCTCATAACATGTTTTGTGATTATGGGATAGTTTGACTGTAGCAGTTCCCAAAATTGACAAAGCTTGGCCATTTGCGCCGCTAAATGTTTTGGATGTGGGATTCAGTTTGATTTTCTTGTTCAATTTAATGTCGGAAGGCAAAATCGTTACGTCTGCTCCTGTATCAATTTTGAAAAGAACATCATCACTGTCGTTCATATTTAACACTACAGACCAAGGATCATCACGTACGGTTTTGTCAACAGAGCCAATTTGAGGGTCTATGTACTGAGAGCAAACATTTTCGGTGGGGTTTTCAAGGGGAGAATCATCATATTCAATTTGACTGACTTTGTTTGATTTGCAAACATTTGGGAAATGACCGACTTTTTTACAAAACCCACATTTGTATTGTTTAGCTGGACAGTTGAATCTTTTGTGTAAAACTGTCGAGCCACACCAAAAACATCTCTTTTCGACATTGGACAGGCTTTTATTGTCATTAATTGGCTTAAAGTATCGATTATTGTTTGATTTATCAGGAGAAATGTTTGATTTACTTAAATGTTGAGTGTTTTGGTTTATTAATGCTATGTCAGCCAAGTTTAGTGTTTGTTTCTGTCTTGTTAGTTCTTCAGATCTACGGATAGTGTTAATAGCTGTGTTAAGTTTTAATTCGGGTTCAAGTTGAAGACGATCACTTAGTGATTCGTCCTGCATACCAATAATCAAAACCATCAGAATCATCTCCTCTTCAATCTGACCCCAATCACAGTTTTTTGCATGATTGTGAAGGTCTGTGATGAAGTTCTCAATCGGCATGGAACCCTGTTTAAGTTTTAGAAACCTAGCCCGTTCAAAAATTAGGTTCTTTTTTGGAAGGAAATGATCGTCAAACTTCTTTAGAACAACTTTGTAATTAGATTTGTCATTGTCATTTAACCTGAATGAGTTAAGTATATCCTCTCCCTTTTCCCCCATACAGTATATAAGCATGTCAATCTGATGCTTACCAGAATGTAGAGCTAAATTGCTAAGGGAATAATACCTCTCAAAGCGAGTCTTCCATGTCTTCCAGTCGTGAGGATTGAAGGAAAAGGCTTCAGGAGGCTTAATGTTCAGGGATACGGGTTCTTCATTCGACTGCGCCATGTTCTATTTCTTATTTAGATTAAAATTAAAAGATCAAAAGAAACTAAACTGTTTTTAATCAAGACATTAATACAAGACAATATTATTAAAGAAAGTAAATAAAAAACATATGGTTAAAAAATAATTAATTAATCATAGAGGTTGAACACATTCTTTCAATTTTTATTCACAAGACCAACTATTAGAAACAAACAAAAAAGAAAACACAAAAAAAGAAAACAAAAAAGAAAAAAAGAAAAGAAAACAGAAAAGAAATTGCAAATGTAAATAAAAACATTGATGAATTAATTAATATAAAAATCATCTAGACACAGTCCATTTGCAACAATTAGCATTATCTCCTGCGGTCACGGAAAAATAATGAGCATCCCCTGTCGTAACGGAAACATCATCATAGTCTCCTGTGATCGATGCTGAATTCTGATCATCTCCCGCTGTCTTGTAGACATTATCGTCATCTTCTTCAATCACGGCGAAATTCTGACTATCTCCCTTGGCCGTGGAGACATCATCATCATCTCCTGTGGTCATGGAAATATCATTGTCGTCTTGAGCGATTGCGGCAAAAGCGGTAATTTTTCGATCGTGCAATCTTCGCAAAAAGTGTCTGGTATTGGTCGACGATCGATTCTCGATACCGATACCAATGTCCAAGTATCGGTGGTATCGAGAATGGACAATTGATATCAAGAATCAAATCATCCTTAATAATATAAAATAATATATCGGGGCCCCCTCAAATACAAATTCTTGGGACCCTTTCCCTGGATACGCTACTGTCCTGACGCTTATCCATGAAAGTTTTTTGGCAAGCTAATGTGAGAAAGTACAGTATGTGTCAGGTTGTTGATACTGTTCATTTATTATTATTTGAGCAATGATTTTAAAGTTTTTTTTTTCAGGAAACCAGCAGAGACCATGTCTCCAAAGCATTATCCAAAGGACAAATTGTGTGTTCTTACCTGGGGTGCAAAAGTATTAAATCCATCGATTCTGTTCAATTTTATAATTTTCCAATCCATAACAATGATCTACTCTACAAGTGGACTCACTATTGTGATGAACAATTCCTTCCTAATTTAACAAAGAGTGAATTGTCGAATAGAGCAGTGTGTGAAAAACATTTTACTGATGACTCATTCGAAGAGGCATCCAGAAAAATAATGAAAGGAAATGCAATCCCAAATATACCTCGTAATAATAATGATGTTGTTATACAAACCCCACCACCAAAGTTATATACCAAAGTTAGTAGGCCTGTACAACAAGTGGATTGTCCAAACTCATCTGTAAGTATTTATATGCTTCAATTACCTCTATCTTTTTAAAGTATTGTGTACCTCAAACCTATACCTGAGTAATACCGGTAATTCAAAATGCCTCTTGAGTATTGTATTAACGTTTTCACCCTTAGGATACCTAAGCCCCCAGCACCAAGGAATCTTTTAAGATTATATTTTGTAACTAGAAAATCACATTTAGATACTGTATGTATACCTTGAATGAATGTCAGCAAAACATCACTATATTTTAAGCTTAACATGTTCACTGTGCATGGCGAGTAATCTTGTCACCGCTAGCGCTTTCCAGTGGCGCATGACAAGTATACTCCGTTTACAAACTATTGTTTCATTGTGAGGTTAGCCACTGCCTTGAAACGGCTTTGCCGCTTATTGTGCCAGTTTCATACTTCAATCTGGTAAAGTAAGTTTTCAGATCCGACTATTTTATTGGTGGTAGGGACTGTTACAAATTTATTTTATTTTGGAGCTAAGGGTTGAATTTAATGATATGGAATAGAATAACTATAATGAATATACTGTAGCATTATGAAAGGAACCTAACCTCAAAATTGTGCTTGAACCAGTTTTCACGGTTTTGTGTATTTGAGTATTTCGCTCCTGTTATTTCCCTCCATTTGGCAGTACTGAGGGCTGGCTAGCAGTTTTGACTAGTGCTGCTATCTATTGGGTTCTTGTAAAACTGCGTTCAAAATAATTGGGACACAGTATGTGCTATAATATGTCTCCTATTGGATAAAACTAAATTTAAAAACTTTTGCGCACTCATCCACACAGGGCATTAATTGTCCGCGCTCCCAGCAGTGGCCAGCCATCACAAAGCTGCAGCAAACGTGTTAATATGAACAAAGGATGAAATTAGACGGGAGTGACAGCATAAGAGTTCTGTCCTGGAGAAACGTGTTTAATAGTCTACCAATCATTGATGTGATCCTGTGGTTAGGAGCCTAGCCTACCCCAAAAATAGGCTTCTTAGTCCATCTCCCGCCACAAAAGCCATACAATAGAAAACTAAGGGAATTCCCAATATATGAATTTGTATTAAAACAAGTTCTAAATTGGCTACAGTAAATCCTCTCTTAACCGGCCCAGTGTCGACCACCGCTTGCATTTAGATGAATCTATACCCTATCCTTAATGTTGAAACGACTCAAAAGTCTGTGTTTATCTTTATAAATAAAATTAGAGTTTTGTCTGTACATTGCTCAGAATTATATATTTTTTGGTAATTTTTACGTTTTATACATTAAAGAAGCCGAAACAAGTCTCAATTTCTGTCTGTCACGGTCCAAAAAGGCATTTTACACGGCCTTCTCCTGAAAAACGAGAGTAGGTACCTATCAAGATTCAAATCATTTTAATGTATTCACTGGATTGGTGAGAGTGACTTTAAGTATTGAAATATGGCCTTACTACTTTGTAAATAAAATGACAAACGTTCAAAAACCATATTTTGTTGTTGGTATTATTTAGTAAATTATAAAATATTGTGAAATAGTTATTTGTAGTGTTTTGTTTAGTGAAATGTGTATTTTCGTCTACCCACTCGTTCATGTGTACAATACTGAATTCAATTTATAATAATATTTTACAAAGTTGTGAAATACTTGAAAAACTAATCACTGATTGTGGTTGTAAAAATTGGTACGCAGTATCATATATTTGCTTGCGCACCTTTTTTTAAGATTATGTAAAACATTTTTAAATATTCTAAAACTACAATAAATTCCCTACAATTTGTATATCTCAGAATCTTTATAAGATTGGTCGTTAATATTTTATGTGGCTTTGAAAATGTCATAAAAATTATGTTTTCGTAAAAAAGATTTCAAAGTTTTACATTTAGACAAAAATTACCCAGACATTTTAGAATTCAACAGCATATAACTATATATTTTCAAAAAGATCTTTTATTTTTCTACTAGGCAGTTTCATATTTATAGGTTAAGATAGCAAGATTCGAGTTTGGTTTATAACATGTAGTAGCCTAAATGCTGAATGTTTTATAATAAATTAGACAATGAAATGTACTAAATTAATTCATTTATTCTTAAATGGGCATTCTTTCCTTTCTTAAAGTAATACAACACGGCCCTTAAATGCCTCATTGACAACATGCCAGTTTGTTTGTTTTGATTTAACCTCAAAATTTGACACATATGAATAGATGATCGCACTACAGCCAAATAGGTTCATCTTCAAAGATATTCAACCACACCTTAACGCTTCTAGCTAAAAAAAATCCAACTGTACATGATCCTTTTAGCACTTTTATGACTATTTAATTTTTTAATTTTGATGGAAGATAATATTTTTTTTTTTAATTCGTCAAAAAATGTTGTAATAGTCCCTCTTGCACCAATCATTATGCCAATTACTGATATAGAATTAATATTATACGAGGTGTTAGCCCGTCCTACGTACGGGAGTATTCAGTTAAAACGGTGTAGGCCTATAATTCAGAACAGCTAGTTTACACGTATAAAGACAAATTTTATTGCAGCCTACAGTAGAAAGAGTATTAATTATCAATTGAGAAGTGTATAGGCCTAGTCAATGATATCACCTTCCATCACATACCTACCTCTTCCATAATCAATATCACCACAATACAATTACTTATACTATACACAAATTTCCAGTAGGTCTGAATAGAAACTCCCTAAAATAAAACGAAAACATCCAATACAATTCACAGTACACATAATTATAACGTTGGTGTCCTGATATCACTAAACGAATCGTCCACACACATCCTTTATGTCAATTTCACTGCATCAATTGCTAAATAAATAAGTGTAAACAAAGAAAAGTAAACACAACAACAAAACAGCTGAGTCAAAAATAATATTCATTTGAACAAAAGAACTGGGCACATGTTGAAGGAATTTAAAAAGTAAAAACACTGGTAAAGCTAGTGACGTAATTAATTGTCTATGTTTATTATCCATTCCGTTATCAGTTCCAATATCCTTGATAATTGAACCACCCTCATTGAATCAATGTACATCGTAATTCCCCATATTCATTTATTTAAACTATAAAATATTCAGCGCCTCCAAACGTAACCACAACTAAACACACACCAAACAACTTTTTTAGATTTCATAAAAGGATGGTTAGTCTAATTGCAGTATCCTAGGTCAATGATGACGTTGTGTTCAATCTATGTCATTCATCTGTATATCTTTGGATAATACCCGTCTGAGGTTGTGGTGGTAATTCAAAATCGTATTCCTGAGGATTCTTGATCTCCATCTTTATGACATCAATATTTCCGGGCCTAATCCAAGCAAAGTTCAGGCATTCAAAAACATTGTTTGTAAACAAAAAGCTGCCAAGATGAATTAAAACATGTAAAACTTGTGATTTTCCTACCCTTTCCAAAAAAGTTGAGCGGTAAAATAATTTGCATTTCTTTTTTTATTTAACTCGTGTACAGAGCCTCGACTTGTACACATCGATGGTGTTACTTATCTCGGTGGTCTACTAATCTTACTTATTTCCCATAATCAATGACAAAATCTGAGTAAATAACCTCATAGTTCTATAGGGCATTTTAACCAGCTGTTAGTTAAAACAAATTATATTGCTCTAAAACAAATCGAAGATTAAAAAGATTGCTTTTTTAAAATAATTTGAACATCCTAGTATTTTACTATGTATATTAAACTAGCAGAGTACCCGTCCTTCGTACGGGGTTGGCTTATAAGTTAAAAATGCTTATTGCAGTTATACTCAAGCTTTGCGTTTGCAATGGGGGAGGAAAAAGTTTGATAAAATTTGCTTCTTTGAATTACGATATACTATGGTATTACACATCTACCATAGCATTGTGTTCTACTACTTCACCTAAACAATAAAAAAAAAAAATAATTACAAATTCACAAAAAATCACAAATTTTTCATGACATTAAAAACTTGAACATAACTGTGAGTGCCATCCATTCCACTTTGACAGTTCTCATTGAGTATCAGAGTGTTTTGTTGCTGTAGTTCACATTAGCTGTTTACTTAAATGCAAAAAAAAATATAGTGCTGCACCCTGTTGGTAAATCTTATAACTTTTTAATGCTTTTGTATATCATAGAACCAACTTTTTAGTTGAAACAGCTGACTAAATTCTTTAATTCCATTTAAATATGAATACTAATAAGGTTAACATGGGGAATTACAGAGCCACTGGGGCGGAGCCCGAGAGGATTTTTGAGATAAGATATGCCTATATGTTAATCGGGAATGTGGGCTATCATCATGCCAAATTTCAGCCCAATCCGTCCAGTAGTTTATGCGTGATTGAACTTCAAACAAACAAACAAACAAACAAACACACAAACTTTCACATTTATAATATTAGTAAGATAAGATTAATCTGTCATCCTCTTACAGAAGAATTGAACGTATAGTCCAGTGCAAATAGCATTTTAGTAAGGAAATTAAAAAAAAAAAGTTGAAACCTGTTGGAAATCATTTATTAAGGTCTCCTGAACCCACAGAAGAAAGTCCCAGAAAATCCCATGGGGACTTTTCCGCCATTTTGAAAAATAAGCCCGGCCATCTTGGATTTATGCAAGCGTTTACGGAAATGGATGTTACTAGTAAACTAATTGACTTAAAAACCTCCTGTTTGCATAAAAATGTCTTGTAAACTCCAAGCTAGATATTAAATATAAAAATTAAATACCCCCGCCGCAGCGAACCTGCAGACTAAGCGAATTTCCATTTGCCTGAATTTATTTTAAATTAAATCTATTTAAATAACATTAGGTTTAACGAGTACCTAAGTTTGCTGTTACAGGTAGCCTAATAAAATGTGTTTTTAGTAAAATATTAGTAGATTAATATAAAATAGATAAATTTTCCATGTTTAATCAATATATTTCCATAAACAAGCAAACTACAACATTTAAAAATATTCTTCATAAGAATAACATAGGACATTTTAAATTTGCAGTTTTTTTTAATTTTCTTTATAACCATTAACTGTA